TCAATTCTTCCAAATACTAATTCCCTTTCAGCCCAACTCTTCCAAATACTAATTCCCTTTCATTCCAATTCTTCGAAATCAAATTCCCTTTCATCATCAGGTCATCAGCTTTATTAGGGGAATGTGATCTCCCAAACCTCCAATCTCAAACCTTGTTGACCTTGTTGACGTTGATTAATCCTACGTCGACATTACAGGAAAGGTCGCCCTTTGGGCGTTGTTGAATGTCATGAAAAAATCCAGTGGAGCAACATCAGCAACTTGGGGCATCTAAGTGTTTGTTGCACTGCAAGCTTATGTCATCTTCAAACATCAAACATGTTGAAGCATTGACGACTTCCCGTCCCTCCTCTAGCGGCTTGTCCGTCCTCATATCTGATTTATCTATTTCCAGATTCTCCAGGAACCGTTTACGGTCAGCTACTACCACCTGCACCAATGCCAATGCCAAGACAATCGACTCGCCTTCTCCGATCGAAAAAGCTCCCTATCGCCTTCTCTGCAGGAGATTCGCAAGCAGCTGCGGCACTTGTTTCGCACAGCGGATCTCAATCACGACGGCACTTTGACCTGGGACGAGTTTGTGCCTCGCCACCAACTGCTCCGCCAAAACAATGCTGTTTTGCCTGCTTTGCCCTTTTGTTTGTTGCCTCACCTGGTGGTGGTAGGTGACACAAGAGGAAGGTTTGCTGCGGCCATTTTTGTCTTAGCCGGAAGTGCAGCTGCAGTGGAAGTCTGCGTGCTTTTTTCTTCACGGTTTTCCTCCATGGAACTCCCGTTCTTCGCAGCGATGGGTTCATGCGCACGCGTTCAGGAGCGATTCTTGGACAATGAGGAGCAGTCCCGCTATTTCTTGAATGTTCTTTGCATGGACGCGCGCGAAGCCAAAGGCGCCGGGGCGGTCGGTCCGGACATCGAACCTCCCAAGGCGCCGAAAGCGAAGCTGCGCGATGCGGTCCGATGCTGTCCGAAAGGTCCAGTGGTCTGAGACCTTCAGGTTTCCAAGGTCCGAAAGGTCCAGTGGTCCAGTGGTCCAGAATGCAGCCGTCACTGTTATGTCGAGTGATGGCCTGGCCTGGCCTTACACCACAGTGATCCATCTCGGCGGAAAAGATGGGAGAGGAGGAGTCCCCAAGCTATGGTAACAGGTCCTCGTGCTTTCGTGGGGGGGACTTTTTTGGAAGATCTCTCCAACTCCGACGAGCTATGTTTTAAGAAAACGCGGACGGAAGTGACCGCCCGGCAGGCTTGTTCTTGTTGCTGGACACCCGCGAAGTGGGCCAAGTCAGCTTTGAAGAACCTTGGCTTAATCTTTACAAACAAGATTGAACAACGATGTTAATGATGTTTGTTTTGAAGCTACTGTGTCATCCAGGAAGTTGGGAATACAGCAAGTTGAAAGAAACATAGATGATCATAGATGTCCGACATCAATGAGGCATAGATGTCTCACAGAGACAAACATCGAAACCAAACTGAGTGGTTTTTGGAGCGTCCTGTGGGACCCCTCGGGTTGGGCCGATCATGTGTGGCTATCCTTTGCCCTGTGCCGAAAAATTGCTGATCATGCTTGGTGGCATGCGGCTTCTCATCCAACGGCCAAAAAAAGAAGAAGAAGAAGATGATGATGATGATGATGATGATGATCATGATGATGATGATGATGACGACCTTCAGGAACAATCCTCAGACCGCAACCGGGGGGAGTTCTGTTTTAGTTCATCTTTATACCGTAATATACCGCTTGGGGGTTCCCTTTTTTGGGCGGCCTTGTGTAGGTCCCCTGGTCCCCCCGTTGCCGCTGCTCTCGTGGCGATGCAGGAACTCTTGGATGGCGTCCTGCGACTCAAGGGCACCGCACAGGCCATCGACCTCGCGACGCTGATGTATTGCAACAAGCGTCCCTTGGTAGCGGCGACCGGGAGAGAGGGAGACCTATATATAGATACTATAGAGGTTAGGTTAGGGTTGGAGTAAAGGGCCTCGCTACGAATGGAGCCTTCGAACTCTACGAACGTAGCTCCTGGCATTACTACTAGTAACAAGAAGCTACCAGTAATAAAGGGAAAGGACGTGTGACATCGCCGGTGGAGTGATGGTAGACCTCTTTTTCAGTTCTTGACCGAAAGGGGTTGCTCGGTTGGAGAGGGGTGGGTTGGAGAGCTGGTGTTTTTGGGGGTAGACTAAATGAAGAGATAGATGATCGAAGCTTCACTGGCGATGTTGAGACTGATTGTTGATTCATTGATGGGCCAGTTAGTTCATCCGGCCCCGTGGTGAGCTGGTCCCACTGTGTGGAGCTTTTGTTGAGCCTGGTGGTGTGTAGAGCAGTGTAAGGACCTTAAGGACCTGCCTGGGACTCTTAGGAAAGACCTCTTGGCACTTCTTAAGCATCAATTCCTTGTGAGATGTCACTGTCGAAAGATGAAATTAGGCCAATCTAGCCAAACCAAAGCCGCGTTTGCGTGTTACGAATCCTACGCAGCCCGCCAGGTATGATCACCTGGCTGCGTGAGCGCCTCAACGGGCTCCAAGACTCCTTGGACGCCCTTGCGAGCGATGACGAGCGGGACCACGCGCCGGCTGGTCGGAGCCTACACCCACGTCCTCGAGTGCGGAAGGTGAGCGTCTATGCCAGTTGGAATGAGGTGAAGACCCGAGTCCCTCAGTTTGCAGCTGTTTGGGGGACATTCGATCGGAGGGAGCATGTGTTCGGCAGGACGCTGGAGCTCCTCTTAAATAATTCGATGATATTAGCGACCATCGTAGTAGGACGCTGGAATCTGAATGTCTTTTTCACGCATGGGGAGGGGGCAGTGCTTGGAAGTCCGGGCGGGTCCGGTCCACTCAATTGATCCTTCGAAACAAACGTGTCAGATGGCAAGCGGCAGATCTGGGGAAGATCTTATAGGTGTTCAAAAATTTCAAAAGATCAAAAGATCTTATAATGTAGACTCTTGATCAATCAAATAACCCCCCAATTTTTTTAAGGTTGGAAGACCTTAGTGGCGTTGTTTTTCTCTGCTCTTTCGGATTGTCGGGCATCCCGAGGTGACCGAAGGTGGAAAGGAGCAGTAGATATATGCGTTCGTCTTTGTGGCTTGGCGGCTCGGTGCCTCAGCTCACGGCTGACACGGTCCTCCCACGAGCTTGACCGTCCCGGCGCTTCGAGGGCCGAAGAATTGAAAAGAAGTCGGACCCCCAAAGCTGGGCCGAAGATTCATCCACCTTTTTTTGCGCCATTTTTCTGGTTGGGGGGCGCCTTGCATGTGGTGTTTTGGATGGGGGGAGATCAGGGCAAGATGGCAGGGCAATGAGCAGATAGCTCCTGTGCATTTCGCCTTTGCTCGCTCTAGTGCAGTCTTCTTCGTGCACAGGTGCATGCAATTGTTTAGGCTTAATCATTACCCATAATTCAATGTTCGAAGCTCCGTTGTGCATTGTTGTGCTAGAGCTGGTCTTCTGCTGCGATCATGCTTGCACGTTGTCGATGCCAATGCTACCGGGTCCCCTGTGTTTTGATCGTTTCCAAGATCTTGCCATGCGCCGCTACGAGCCGCGGCTCAGACCAGATTTGGCCACGAATTCACGGCCATCCCTTTGGGCACCCCAAAAAATTGGCGGATGCCCCATCAGCTTGGTCAGATGCGATGTCTCGTTCTTCACCGAACAAGACCAGTCCCCTGACCTGCCGAGCTTGGTGAGCCTTTTTTGGGCGACGTGCCGTTTACCGCGGAGCGGTCGCTCACGCTGGGGAAAAGAGTGCCACTTAGTGCCACTCCTCTCGGTCACTCCACGTCCGAAGACTCCACAAACGATCGACGTCGACATGGACAGATTTGGAAGTTGAAAAAAGTTTGGTGCTTTTGCTGATAGTTTGAGCCTCAAGACAGTCTCAATACCTTTTTCACTCTTTCGGCAGGAAGTGAGGCAACTGCAAACGTCTCGCCCTGACACCTCGAGTCTTTTTTTTTGCGTGGGCGGCAGCACAGCCAAGTCAGCCTGGCCAGCCGATGGAATGCTGAACGATGATGCGGCCAGCCTACTGGTCTGCCTGGCATGTTTGCATTCATGCGTGCGAAAAATCACGGCGTTGAGTGGGTTTTGTAACTACAGGGCCCTTGAAGATTCTGGAAAGATGCCTGAAGACCATACAAATCCTGCTGCGAAGGAATGCAACCAACTTTCGACTTCTCCGTGACGATTCCAATGATTCCCGCTCTTCAAGTTGCCAGTTCTGCGTCAGGATGGCCTTCAGCGACAGACCGTGGTCTTGGTCGGAGTAACCGGTGATGGCAAGAGCTCCACGGGCAATACCTTGCAGCTCGGCAACGGGCACCAAAGCTATCCAAAGCTACAGTTCTGACCAACATGGAAGTGGCGTGTTCCCCCTTTGCTGGTGGAGAGCCACCTCCCTCTTCCGGGAGCCACCTCCCATGGATTTTCCAAGCACACATGTGCTTTTCTGGGGTCAGAATGATGCCTTTTCCTCAATGAAAGGACGTAGATGGACGCGACTGTCGATCCTTGCAGGTGTTGGTGTTGTGGAACTTCTAGAAACACGGCTTCTAGGGCTTTTAGCTCGGTTCCCTTTTCCCTTCACACCCCTACATGAACAGCAGTGGGGCACGGCAAGACTCCACCTGCATCGGGGTTTGGCTAAGGTGCGGGTCCTCTGCTTTTCCAGTGTCTGCAGGCTTCAAGTCTGAGACACAGGAGCCGCCACGTCCGCTCACCTGTGGCATGTATTGTCAGTTAGCGACGTCCATTGGACAGAGGCCTGAGAAATTGTAAGAACAAAACCAAAGTGTGAGACACTAGAGCCGGATCAAGATGTGCTCAAGTCTTTGGAAACGGGTCACATACTGTACTGTCCAACAAACACCAGCAAACACCAACCACGGCGTCCTCACCCGCTCAACCGGGCCCACCGGTCGGTTCCAACGCTGCCACCGGGGCCCGCCGTCCGTTGGCCACGCGCGGACCGCGCGCCGCGGCAGGAGTTGGCTCATGCGGATTACCTCCGCGGCGCCACGTTTTGGCGCGTCATCGACACCATCGGCCTCCACGACACGCACCTCTCGCAGAAGGAGGCAGGGGAGCGCAGCAAGGAGCCAGGGACGGGTGGGAGAGGTCAAGAGACACGAACAAACACTGTCAATGGGGGTACTAGGCTGTGGCTTGTGGTATCGGGCCATTGTCAGGAAACCTTCAAGAAAAAGCTTTGCACAACTGGGGAGCTACAAAATCTACTACTGTAAGAAGGGGTCATGCCTGGGGGGCAGCTCATGAGCAATTGAATTTGATTGGTCGAATTTAGTAGATGAGGCAAGAACTGTGCGTTTGTTTACTTTGGCCGGTGGGACCCTCTGGGTTTCTTCGAGTCGGGTGCGCCAAGCACCCTCGAGTCACTTGGAGAAATTGGCGCTCTTTCCGCTGCCGACTCAGCTCCATCCTTGGGGATCCAAGAGACTGGGCTCAAGAGGCAGTAGATGGAGGTAGATGACCACCAGAAGGGCATAGGATGGTATAATGGTATAGGTTTGTCTTAGTATCCCTGAAAGTCTGAAAGTCAAAGACTATTTAAAAATGGTCTTTGGATGACCCGAAAAGGAATTTCCTTTACTTGGCTGGTGCCAAAAGTCATCAAAAATCGTGTTTGCACTTCTAGGGGTGTCCCATTGGACTTACAGAAAGTGATCACATCTCCTGGGGGCCAGGTCAGGACTCCCACGGTCTCCTGCAGGTCCTCGAGCGCTTTTCCACCTTTTCCGAAGCAGCCGCCGAAGGCACCAGACCAGCCCGTCGTCATTGGGCCCCAGACCCGTGGGATCTGGGTGCTGACGTAAGGGCCTTGCGGGTTGATGTTGATGTTGAGAGTTTCATGAGGTTTGGGACAGGCTGGTTGGTGCAGGCCCCCACTGTGTGCAGGTATCAGGTGGAGGTTGTGTGTGCTTTTCACCTTGTTCCATACGTGTCCAAACTCTTCATGATCCGGCAGCTTTGAGGGACGATCGGCCTCAAACCCAAGGCTATGACATGATATGACTATCTACGGGTATCTCACACAACACCCTCCAAATTGATCGGTGGCTCACAGAAGAATCTGGTATTCCGTTTGCTGCACCTTCTCCAGCAGTTCCAACTTCTCAGGCATCCCTTGTGCAAGAATCCCCCAAGCTTCAACAGCTCCCCAATCCAACCCACTTCGACGGGTGGACGGAATTGTTTCAGGGTGACTCGTTCAGAAAACGTGTTTCTCCCTCGACCATCCAAAGGGTGTCCAGAAGCACGTGACCTCTATTTGGGATTGCTCACCACCCCCCAAATGTGTGTTTTCCCCAAACAGTTTAGTTTTGGGGTTCTCTCCTAGGACAAAAAGAGCTGGCCACACTGGCTGGCCGTGCCCCTGAACTCTGTGTCCAGGCTTTATGTCCGGGTCTTGTCCTCCTCTTGTCCCCCTCTTGTCCTTTGGCCGCGTTGGCCAATGACCCTGTGTCCTCCTCTAGTCCCGCGCTGGCCAACCAACCCGACCCTGTGTCCTCCTCTTGTCCTGCTGTTGTCCTCTGGCTGCTCTGGCCAACCTTGTGTCCTCCTCTTGTCCTTCTCTTATCCTCTCTAGTCCTCCTCTTGTCCTGTTGTTGTCCTTTGGCCGCGCTGGACTACCCTGTGTCCTCCTCTTATCCTTCATCTTTTTTGTCCTCTGTTGTCCTCATGTCCTCCTGCTGTCGTGCTCTATGCTTGTATGTTTTCATAGAAGAAAAAACCGTTGTCAGCCTGGGTTCTAGGTCGTCTATGGCCCAAACTTCCTCCAAGGTGATCCTCCTGTGGCCCTGCCGAGCCGGCCTCGTCGACCGGCGAGGCATCGACGTCTTCCTCTTCGTGCTCCGTTGGGGTCGCTTCAAGCCGGAGCACGACGAAGCCCTGGCGGCCTTCGCGGTGAACTGCGGCGAGACGGCCTTGCGCCGGACGGCCTGAGACGGAACGGAACGGAACGAAGGACGGCGAAAGACGCCACCGGAGACGGCGGTTGGACAGGAAGAGAAAGGTGGGGTGGGTGATGGTGGGAGTCAAAGAGGGTCATAGGCCATTGTCTTGAAGAGCAGTCTGACTGCTCATGAGGTTTTCATGGTGCTGGCAACTCTCAACTATAACAGTTGGTGATGAGTTGATGGCAGATGACAACCTGCGAGCGAATGGCTGAGGCCACACCATGCTGGTTTTCACCCACTGTGACTTGGATGACGAGGCACTTTCCAGACAACTGCTGGATACTTGTCATGCAAAATACCTTGGAACGTGGTTGGAGTATCTAGCAGTATCTTGGGAGTCTGGGGGTTGCTTCTTATGGAAAAACCGGCTCAGTCTTGATGAGTGCCCACGAAGAGCCATCAGAAAAACATAGAAAATCATCATCAAAACATAGAAAAAAACAATGAAAAACACAATTTGAGAGGGACACGCTTCGGACCCAGTTCTTCCAAGTCCCTTTTTGCTTGCTTTGGCGGTGCTGCCCAGGATCCTTCGGCACCACCGGCGCTGACGCACTGGCTGCAAAGAATAGGCCTCCGGGAAGAAACACCCCGACTCACCATGGAAATGGACAACCCCCCCCGTTGAAAGCAGCCTTCCAACTGACCATGTTCATCCATGTTCCATTTCCAAATGATCATGGAAGTGGATGGCGGATGGTCCCCTTGGATGGCGGATGGTCCTCCTCTACACCACTTGGTCAACGGCTCGATCCCGCTCCTTTGACCCCCCTTGGTGATTCACCGGGTAGGTCACGGAAATTGACCGTATCAACATGATGCAACATGAGAAGTCCCGCACAGTATCAGAGAGTTTTAAGAAAACTCAATGACAAGCAAGTGGAACCTGCAAAGAAACAAGGTCCATTTTGGATCATTTTGGATCAAGTTGAAATAGGTAAGTGAGATTCTACCCATGCAAGACTAAATGAACTGCGACCAGACGCCCGCTATGGGAGGCTTACAGGGAGAAATCTGTACACCTCAGCGTCGCACAGCGACTGGGTCGTATGCAGCAAAGGAAAAAGGCGAAAAGGTAGGATCATCAACTCACTCGCCACAGTGCTTTTCGCTATGACGAACTATCAAAAATGCTGCAGTCATTGGCTCAGGCCAGTGTCGATATGTAAGCGCCTTTTGGCTACAATGGGACTTCACAAGTCACCAAAAAGAAGTCTTCAAACAATTCACTATCAAGCACGGCTTTCAGAGCGCAATTTTCGGTAAAAACCGAAGTTGAGAACCTCCGTCTCTGTAGACCCTCTTGAAAGTCGAGCGGGTCGATTTCCAAAGCGAAAAGCTCGACAAAGCAAAAGGAGCTCGAAGAGAAGATACTATCACGGCAGCTATACCAGCTTGGCTCCAAGAACTCCCAAACAGAGAAGAATGTTTCTTCTTTCCACTCTGAAGAAAATGCCTCACTCATCTCTTGACACACTTCTGCAAACTTGGCGGGTGTCATCACTGTAAGTCGAACACATTCCAAGGCTGGTCCCTGCTATGATCATCTCATGGCTGGATCATATCGACGTGGATAGCGTCCCACAAGGGAAGTGACAGACATGCTGGCGTGAAGGCCTGAGCCACAATGCCTACCATTTTCCTCTACAAAACCGGTGGCGCCATCCACTTCCATGATGATTCCAGGGAGCCGGTTCAGATATGGGATGGTATGGGCTAACAGATTGGAATTGCTGGTTGGTTTCTGTGGCATGACCCCCCCACCAGCCTATGGGAACTCACGCCTTGTTAAGGCACGTTGGCACATGCGCCGCCATGAGAATTGGAAGATCAGGGCAGGATGCTTAAATCCACCAAAGAAGTGAGCAAGTGATTGAAGCATCTCAAGATCAAATTGAAGCACCCTTCCCTTCGCTGACGGGAGGCCCGTACTACTTTCTGCCCCAACTCCAACTATTCCAATTCCAGCACTCCGCAGCATCTGCGGCGTTAGGCGGAGGAGCTGTTGGGATCGACAACCTGGATGGATCGACCGCACGCCCACGAGTCCAACGTGCGCTTGAAGGCGGCCTGGCGATGGGTGCAGACCGAGGCCATCGGTGGATGGATGGTAAAGATGAGTTCCACAGCGTCGGTGTGCGGAATAGAATGCTCCACGCATTATAAAATGGGCCACCAAATGGAGAGGGTTCTTGCGAGAAGTGTGTCCAAGCATGTGCCAGGTGTGACAACGGCAAAAGTACGTAGGCACAGAAGAAGCTAAACATGGCAGGGAGAGGTTTTGGGGGGACAGAGACAAGTGTGGGTCTGCCCCAGTCTCACCAATAGTCCGTATACTGTATAGTCCAAAGTTTTACATCACTAGTTACGGACCCGTGCTGACCATCGCTACGGGTACGGATACTGGAGAGACGGCCCTCTTTGGGAGAGACGGTCCTAGGAATGGTGGCAGGGCTCGCTGGCTTGCGCTATAGCAATGAAGTCGTGACCTCAACCGATAGGGAAACACGCCCGCTGTTTTTCTTTGCGTGGGGTGGGGCGGTTGGCAAAGCAGTCGAGTTGGATGAGTTGGTTGAGTTCACCTCTTTGGTTCAGCCTCAAACCAAGTCAGCAAAGTAGCAAGAAGCGAAGCTCACCAACATGGACGGCAAGCAATGCTGAACTCTCAGACGGCAGAACGAAGGTGTTCTGAGGGGATGCGCCCTTGTTATCCCCTTTTCTATTGTTTGTTTCCTTTGAAGAACTTGTCCGAACAAATTGAACAAAGCTGCTATGGCCTTTGAACATGTTTTCCCCAAGGCCCCCTGCACCAAGATCCTAGCGACAAGAGTCCACCAAGATTCAGCAAATCGACCTCCCTTGCAACCACCCTCGCCCTTTTGGAATTCTCCTCATCCCATTTATTGATACTGTTTGCTCCACTCAAAGACCCACCCAACACCCACGCCACGATGTTCGGTTTCCGAGCTCTCCACCGGCTGACCTGGGACCCTGGCCACCCCACCCTGGCCCCGGAGCGCCAGCCACCCAGCGCCACCCGGCCACCCGCCGCGGCAACCGCTCGGCTGAGCCTGCGCCCTGCCAGGCGCTCGAAGAGGCGCGCGCCAAGCTGAAGGCCGCCGAGGAGGCGGAGAGCCGCGCCTTTGCCGCGGCGGTGGCCGAGTGGCGGCGCTCCAGTGGGCCGGCCGCTTGGATAAGAAAGGTCTGGGGTAGGCCAGGGCCTAGGGCCTGGTACAAAATAGGGGTGGATGGGTGGGAGTAAGAACCAGGTCACTTTTGGAGTTTTGGGAGTAGGGCAGGGGTCAACATCAAAGCTGAAGGGAGGAGAAAATATATAAAGGAACTTCTCTCTCACTGCTCCGATCGAGTTTGGGAAGATGAAGCGTTTGATCTCATCTTCCCAGATGCTCTACAGATGTTGGGCAAAAAGAAAATCATAGAAACTAACAAGCAACATTGAACATTGTGCACATACATGTGCATACTATGTTTACTCTCTAACTCTCACTCTAATGGAAGTGGACGGATGGCATGGCCCTGAAAGGAAGACCATGCTCTGAATACCAAATAGGTGGTGCCCTCCCCTTCCATCCAGGGGGGAGTATGTTGTTAACTCATGTTAACTCCTCGATGTGGTCCGGGGAGAGCGAGCCGTGCTTTCCTCCCAGGTGGTGATCGAGCGCGAAGCTGGTGTCATCACGCGGCCTCCAGTGAAAGGCCAGGCAACATCGCTGGACCGGGTGGACTAGGGTGGACGAGACGAGTGGTGAAAGGCTAAGCACGTACAGATGGCGCGAAACAGGTGATTTTGTCCAAGAGGTCCTGAACAGATGGGGGGTTCCAAACCACCACCATTGGGTTCACGATGGGTAGTGCATGGTAGTACTATGGACTCTTGAAACCACTGTAGATGGGGCCTCATGTCTGGCAAGCTGGGTCAACTGACCCGGAGGCGAAGCGGACCCCACAGCGGTTTCCGGCGCAGGCAGTGTGAGGAAGACGCGACGGCTGAAAACAAGTTTGAACAAGGTAGTGCAGCATAGGCTTAGCATGGAGAATATGTAGGTATTGGTGTAGGTGGGATATTATCATAATTGTTAGCATGCATTCGCATGTTCCGATGGACCAACCCGTGACCAAACCAAACCATGCAGTGGCTTGTTTGAAGTGGAATTGGGATCTTTTCATGAGATTTGTTCTCAGATGCCACCGGCCAATGATGGTGCAGACGCAGACGGGCGCGAGCAGAGGCAGTCCAATGTATTGTTTGCCCTGTTTTTCTGGTTGCACAGAAAGAAAGCCAGCAACAAGCATTCTGTTCATGTCAGTCCTGAATGTTGATGCGTTCTTCACCGTGAGCCATTTGGCTTTAGAACAGGTGTCCTCGCTAGGATCAAAAAGCTCGAGACTCTAGCGGCCTCAATTGCAATCCCACAGCGCAGCAGGTTGTTCCACACTCTATGACATGAGCTATCTGCAACTACCAGTATCTACCACATTCGACCATTGGTGTTGAGCGTTTCAAAGCCATGACACTTCGTGAGGCAGACATGGAGGATGGCCCGTCACTTCGTGTGCTATGTGTGGTGTTTGTGATGGCGTTTCTTCGGCCCAGCGACCAATAAGGAGGTTCAAACCAAGCGTCCAATGTTCTTCTTTGACCCCACCTGTACAATGCCTCTGCAACTTCTGCCAATCACATCCAAGCACTCCATCCACCCTTAAATCCACCACAGCTCTTCCGCAAGCGAAGCCTCACAGCCGGCAGGACGCCCGAGACGTGTGCATGTCGGACCGCTTGATCCCCAACCGCCAGACGTGCTGCGATCCGGTTCGACAGCTGAAGCTCGAACGAGACGAGAACTGGGCGCCTCAGAACGGCTCCGCGGAGAGATCTCTGGGGATGTTTTCAGAGCGAACCCTGCCTCCCCGGCCTCCCACTGGCCATGGAAGTGAAGCTGTTTGCCATGCCTTCGACTTCCATGATGGGGAATCAGAATCGATTTCTTTGGGTTTCTTTTGGCCTCTCAAGTCTTGCAACAAACCCTGGCGCATGCGCCAGGTTACCATGAAGTGCTTTCGCAGAACGTCTTGGGGAAGGAGGCCTTGAACAACGTGAAGATTTTGAGCTACCAGCACAAGCCAGCACGTCAAGATCCCCATCTTAGTGAACTGAAAGTACTATACAGCAGCTCAGTATGTTCAATAACTGTTGCTTTGTTAGCTCTTGGATGCTATTGGATGCATCTGATACCTTGAAGATCCTTGAATGATGTGTTTTTTCACTCACTCTCACTTGATGGTTCCCTTCTTCGCCGCCGGAGCCGAGCGCACAAGAAAGAGACCCGAGGCAGCAATCGCGATGCCGGGCACCGAAGCCACGTTCGACCCTCACGACATCTACCCCAGAGTGCCACGAAAGTGCTGGATGCGCCGGGCATTTTGGACGACTTCTACAGTCACCCGGTGGACTGGTCGTCTCAGAATGTGGTTGCGGTGGCCTTGGCAGACATGGCACCTCGGTTGTTTAGTTTTGGAGGTCGGAGGTCCATCCCTATGACTTAGGACAGGTGTTTGACTTATCATGGCATATTCACGTCTCGTGTCATATGCCTACAGAATTGCATCAATCGCATGACGTTTGGACATCGATTCGGTACAATATCTTCGGCATGGAGTGTAGTTAGCCCACATCTGCTAGGGGAGCGTTCGCTGAATCAGGTCTTCTTGTTTGATGCCGCAAGCGGAAGTGTGAAGAAGCTTCTCCAGCTGCCGAATGGCTCCATCACCACCCTTCGATGGACGGAGACAGGCCAAATCACGTACGATTGCGACAGAAAGTCGAAACTTCATGGTGTAAGCGCTTTTCCGAAAAGCGCTTCAAATGCCCCTTTTCTTGGAACAATAGATCATCCAAGTCTAGAAGGCTCCAGATGTTCACACGGTGAACACTTCCCACGTTTTGAAGAGAGGTTGATGTATGATTCATCAATTGAATCCCACTCACCAAGAAAGAGGCATTGTCAATCTTCAACATCTCCCAACATTGCCCAACCTTCCACTTCGGAATTTCCACTTTCACTCCCACCGGGCCTCCTTCGGCCGTTGCAGGTGGGCACCTGAGCATCGGCTCCTCTGCGGGCGAGGTGCAGATCTGGGACGCCGCCTCGCAGCGGCAGCTGCGCAACCTGCGCGGCCACCAGGGACGCATCGGGGCATTAGCTTGGCACAAGCACATCTTGAGCAGCTTGGCGCACACCATTTGGGTGTAGAGGGGGCTTGGTGATGGCGGTGTTCCCACATGTTCCCACCAAGAATCAGCAGTTTGAGAAGATCTTAGGGTGGGGACAATTGCAATGATTCGGACATTGGGACAAAGAGTGGTAGCTGGCACATCCTAGCATTTGTCAGAGAGGCTTGGGGATGTCAGTCGAGGCCTTCAGATCGCATATTTAATATAGGTTGTATGTGTAATTCTCCAGCTTTCCGATATGGGTGTCCGCGACAACCAGGCAGTGGCTGTGCAGATGCGGAAGTTCATCAGCACGATGTGCGAGTGCGGGAGCACCTGGTGAACCGCATGGTGCACCATACCGACTTGGTGTGCGGCTTGGACTACAACTCCGAGGGCATGTTGGCGTCCGGTGGGAATGACGACACGGTGTGCATTTGGGAGACGACGACCTCCCAAACTCCCATACACACCTTTACAGAGCAACTTGGGAGCAGAGATATGCAGAGAGGAACATTGCAGAGCAAGTCTTCAGGGTGATGCTGTTAGTATATTTTACTCCGTTTTGGCCTCCCCTGTTTGATCGGGGAAGCGTTTCCGTAGAAAGCCCTTCGCAATGTCTTCCCTTTTGTTCTTCTGAGCCCCTCCATCCAGGCACCACGCCGCGGTGAAAGCGCTCAAATGGTGCCCTTGGCAACGACACGTCCTGGCCACGGGTGGAGGCTCCTCCGATCGACAGATCTGCTTGTGGAATGCCTCCAGTGGAAGGCTTCTGATGTCCACGAATGCCGAGAGTCAGGTCACCGGCATCTTGTGGGGAGAGCAGGAGCGAGAGCTTCTAACCGCTCATGGCTATTCGAGGAATCAGTTGTCCTTGTGGAAGTATCCATCTTTGGTGAAGGTGGGCGATCTGGAAGGGCACGAGGCGAGTGGGATCGTCAGGGCACGGTCGAAATAGCTGACGAAAAGGAGACAGAAGCTCTTTGTGTATGCTGGTGTGATTCTATTGAACCATGGGAAATGATGGGAAACCATGGGACCCATGGTTCAATAGGGTCAGCTGACCTGACCTGTTTCTGCGGTTTGACACAAATCCCCGCCATTTGTCCTGGCCATCAGGTCCGTTGTGCCGCCAGGGCCGGCCACCACCAACCCCAAACGTAACTAAGCTGTGCGTTTTCACGCAGCCGGGCACCAAACGCACCCAAAAACGCAGCTATTGAAGCCCGCTTAGGCCCCTAACCCTACCCAAACCACGCTTGGTATCCATTGTCCATGTGCCACTCCGGACAGGGCCGACTACTAGGGCTGGCTCAGAGCCCTGATGGTTCCTTGGTTTGCTCACCGTCCGCCGATGAGACCTTGCGATTTTGGAGGGTCTTCTCGGCGAGTTCCAAAAAGCCAGTGGAGAGCAGCAAGAGCAATGGAAACAACATCCTGAAGACCATCCGTTGAGCTGATTTCTCGCACGGGTTTGAGAAATCATTCGTGCATTCCCAGTTTTTTGGTACAATGGTTTCAGCCAGAGCCTGCCAGAAATTGCAGGTTCGGCCCTTTAGCATGTTTTCGGCAGCACAGCCAATATCTCTTGTTCCAGAGGTGGCGCTGGCAATGCCAACATGAATTTATGTGTGAAATGCATTGGAACGCTCATTAATGCACTCAGTGAGAACTCTCGAAAAGCTTACCGGCTTGCATCAATCGGCTACCAGGTGGTGAGGATGTGGGCGAAAAGTTGACACATTGAAAATAGGTGCTCAGAATAATGTAGACTCTTGATCAATAAACCCCGCCGTTTGAATTGGACATGCTCCCGTTGGACATGGTTTAATATGTGTCCAATCTGGGCATCTGAGATTCGGAGTTCTTCTTGGCATTCCTCCATCAACCGCCCGCTCGGTTCTTCGCCTCGTAGGCAGACGTCATCTCACGCGGTCTCAGTGAGCACAAAGGTCTTGCCTTAGAGACGCGGGGAGGCTGCACAATAGGTGTGCAAAAAGGAGAGTGCAAAAGGTGTACCTAGTAGCGATGGCCTCCACTAGCGATGGCCTCCAATTTGAACACATAAGCAGAAATTGGTCTTTCTGCTGGATTCCATGTACTTATATAGATATGTGGCATCCTTGTATGGCTTTAGCCGCATGTGTCACAGACAGTTATACGGCACATGGCCGTCGCCGCATGTGTCGGGCGTCGCATGTTTGTTGTGAAATGCCCAAAGCGACGTGACAAGCGCACGTGGAAGCGACGTGGAGCAACTATCGAAACCTAAGGGACGTCCTGGTGGATTTGAGAGAGATCAGTCCATGTTGGTCTGAAGATAGCGGGATTTGAGAGCACATATCAAAGATCATCAGCGCATAAGGATAGATATGGTGTTTTCATGTGGTTTTGAGCCGTCAGCGCCTCGCTCAGCCCAGCACGGCCACATGGATTCGCGCACATGATTCGGCCACATGGACGGAGCAGGGGGGCCAAGCCACCGCCAGGAATGAGATCTTTTGGGCCGCACCAAGCCTCCAGTTTGAGCACTCCAATATATATACTCAGCTTGAGCAGTCTTGAGGGTGAGACCTTCGTGTGTACAGGTCGAAGGTAGCTCGTTTTTGGATGATTGATGCATCGGGATGGCCCCCACTTCGTGTGTTTGATGGTCTGAGGGCCCAGTATGGTTGCATGATGTTGCATGTTTTTTTTATGGTCCTGATTCTTTGTATGGTCCGGTTGTGCTGAGTTCTTTTTTTCATCGGAGATGGTCCGGTCGTGCTTACGGATTTCCGGACCACATCTCGCCTGCACGATTTCACTTGGTCAGCTCCACGGGTGAGCCGTTTTGACGCAGCTTGACACCCAGGCCCGAGACGCAGCTTTGCTGCGCACGGCGGTGGTTCAGCTCAGCCCGGATGCACGATCGGCTGGGTCCAGGGGTGGTTCAGTTCAAGTCGACCTTCCAACTGCCCCTGGAAGTGGATGGCAATGCCCTGTTCGCAGAGGAAACATGTCTTCCCAGGGGCGACATGCGGAGGCATGCCTTCCACTCTCCGGAGGCATGTTTCAGAGAGTGTATGCCAAGATATGCCAAGGGTAAGGTCAGTTCATCACTTGGATCACTTTGCAACTGCATCACTTTGATTACTCAGCAAATCACCCCTCAAAGAAATCGACTCAGTTCATCCTAAATTCAGAGTTCAGCAAGGCCACCAGCGTGGCTTTGCCTTTGCAGACGAAGCCGCCTTGGATGGCTTGACGGCCGCTGCGGCCTTGTACCTGCAGGATCGGAATCAACATGGTTTTCTGGGTGGTGGCTTCAGATGTTTCTATTGTTCAACCGTTACGAAGAAGATGATTGAATATATATAGATATATATACATATAATTGATTCCACAAGTCTGTCATATATGACTCATATCTTTCGTTTCGTTTTCGCTGAAAAACCACCAACCAACCAGTTTTGATGCTCCGCTGGAATCTTCGAACAGAAGTGAAGTATGGGTGAGGTCCAATCGACCGACCACTGAAGGTCGTTAGATCAAAAAGTCTGCGAACAGTTGGGAAAATGGCATGTGTCGCAATTTGTTCGCTTTGATCCTGGCATATTCATGTATCCATATGTGTATAGATATATATATATATATACTAATACACACATAGACATGGTGAATTCCCAGATTTGCCCAGAAGGGCTAGGTTCCTCCCAATGTGCACGACAAAAAGTCCTAAAAAAGACTTCCACGAAAAAGCGACCGTTCACGTTTCGCGTCTCTCTTTGCGTCATGACCCTTGCGACTCGGTGCACGACCCCCGCGTCGTGTCGTTCGCATTGGCCGCAGTGCTTCGCACGCGCGCGGACCTTCCGTTCCAGGACATTGGCTGGCGGTCTCAGAGGCTCGCAGAGCTGGCAGGTCGTTGCAAGGTGCGGTGGTGCGGTGGATGGAAGTGATCCGGGGCTTCGAAGTGAGAGGGGCTTTTGAGGGCTTTTGAGGGCTGAGGGTGTGTGAAGCAAGCAAAGCAACTGTTGGGTGAGGTTCGGGGTGGACAAATCATCAAGCTAGGATTTTGCTGCGACTATACTCTCTCGAGAGAGAGAGAGACAGAGAGACAGAGAGTTGTTTGATGTCTTCCTACTGTAAGGGATTGTAAGGGGGTCGGAGGGCACTGTTTGTTGTCACACACGACAGGTGGTGAGCCTCTAGATCCAGGGTTTCAGGGCTCCTCCCAACCACTAAAGTCACTACAGGTTAAAGATAGGCAGCTCGTCGCGAAAGTCATGCTGAGGCCACTTCGACATGCTTCGATCGTTTTGCTTGTTTGGGCCACAAATCTTGGGCCATACTTTTGTTGATCTTGCAAGACCTTGGGAGCTGGTGGATGCAAGACCTGGCTCCGCACCGGGTTTTGGTCGCTGTCTCTCGCTTCTCGGACCTCCTGGTGGTTCATCACCGGCTTCTCGGTCGACTTGAGGAGGATGAGTTGAGCCGATCCAACCCCCCAAAAGGGAAGGGACATCCAAATAGCTCATTTCCATGTCCATCTATGGAAAAGACATCAGACTTATATAATGAATTTATTTGGCCTAGCCCAACAGCCCAACTATGCCCATGCAAACCCTCAAATGAACAGCTCACAGCTCACTGCCCTCGTTGTAAGGGATGCCAAGGGATGCGAAAGGGCTGCCCTTGAGTCCGGTGGATGTGGATCTTCGGCTGGTCAGGTGGACGTCTCAGACGTGCGGGAGGCCATGGAGGCGCCTTGGCGGAAAAAGAGGCCAAACGAGGAAGGATGACTAGAAGACGATGCTTTGTTGTGTGTGTGCATATGTGCGTATTTGTGCTATATCTAACTACGGGGTGTGTGTGTGTGAGAGAGAGAGAAGCTACAGGGTGTGCGTGTGTGTGTGCCCGAAGAATTCTGATCGCCTGAGGAATACTGGGCTCATCATCAGCCCCGGGATGCTTCTTGAAGGGAGTTGGAAAACCAATCCACCAAACAGATTCAACAGGCTCCAAGATCAATCCACCAAACAATCAAACCACACCACCAAAACCATCCCGTTGAGTCCAGTTGAATGGCGGCCGTTTTGTTCCAACCACCCACCTGTTGCCACTGAAACCCGCGAACCCCTCAGGCAGGTGATGAGATTGAAGAAGAGGCGGGTGTTTCCACCGCAGAAGAAGAAACCATGGTCGGATCTGGTGGTCTCACCAAAAGCCGGCGAAATCCCATACGCACCAAGAAGCTCTTGGTCAGCTGCATGTTGGTGCGGTAGGATGCGGCAGAATGCGGGCCTGCGCATTTGAACACAGAGGGTTTGAGAGTTCGCTTCTTGTTCCGAGTGTCTTTGGGCAGGATGATGATGAGGAGGAGGACACAAAGTTAGAAGTCCTCTTCGGAAAGAAGAAGGCTTGTTGAATGCACGCCTGCAAATCCACATAATCACTGTAGCATAGAATTTCATAACAGACCCATGAACAAGCTGCGAAGATGTATCCAAATACATCCTCGAAAAATATACTCTGGTGTGTTACCGTACCCTTCCTTCCAAGAAAGAAGAGAACTATGGGCACTGCAATATCATGGAATCTCTACCAACCATAGACTGGATTCAATGGAGTCCAGTCTGTCGCAGGCTCAGCCTTGTCAAGTTGTCGCACAACCGCTCCAGTGGCTGAGGCTGAAGAGGAAGACTTGCCCTTCACGGCGGTGCCGGTCGAACCCTTAAGAGAGGCGTTTGGGTCCATCCAATCCCGATTGCTTCAGATCACCGTATCTTCCTATGTCCACCCTCGGTATCAAGTTCATCACCGATTCATCGCCCAGGGGAAGTCTAGCCCCAAGGCCCTGTCTGGCCCCAAGATCCAGACCAAGTGCGCTTCCCAGGTCAATGCTCTTCCGGCTCCGAGAACGCCGGCTCCGCCTGAGAAAGGCTCCAAGAAGTCCTTGCGGATCAGGAAGCCATCCAAGTTCGTACCGTTCGGCTGGGCGGTGCAACGGAGAGGAGCGGCAGCGGCAAATCAAGCAGCGGAGCTGCTTCTTCCACCCAAGGTCGAGCCCAAGAAGGAGAAGACGGAGGAGAAGTTGGAGGAGAAGTTGGAGGAGGTCAAGGAGAAAGAGGAGAGTGAGAAAGAGGAGAGTGAGATGGAGGAGAAAGAAGAGGGAGAAGAGGAAGAAGAGGGAGAAGAAGGAGAAGAGGAAGAAGAGGGGGAGGACAACGATGATGACCCTACCTACTCTGAGTGAGTCCACCCAAGAAGGGGGACTAGCTGAGGGAAGAGGCCGAACAAAAAGCAACGCATGAGACTGGACCGCAGACTTCAAGTAATAGCCAAGGGCTAGATTGAGATGATCAGGCAGGCAAGAACTACTGCGAAACAACTTTTTTGGTCCTCGGCGATCATGGTTCAAGATCCACAGAGAACCTCCGGCCAATGTACCAACGTGAGAGCAGCAAGGAGCATCGACACATGAGATGCGGCGTCTAGTTCAAACATGGTTACATGAGCAGCCCAAAACAACACCGTTGGCAGGGCTAAATGCAGAACTTCGGCAAGACCTAGCAGGCATTTGTGAGGGTCCTTTCCTGCGCTTGATTTGGAGATCTTCGGAGGAAGTGAGGCCATACCAAGCCACCAAAGAGCGGATTTAGACCTCAAAGTGGGACATGGGGCTCTCGCTCTTCAGAACCGATTGGAACAGTAAAGTAAATCCATTCGATATCCGGTTCTTTTCCATGTGTTTCCTGCTTGAGGAACACTTTGTCCAAACAGATCAAACAGGAAGCCACAGACCCTTTCTGCCCGCAACCATCCCCTGTAGTCCGAACCCGAACCAAGCGTTTCCCCCGGCCTGCGTCGCACCCACTGATCTCCCCCGGCCTCCATGGGTGCCAGCCCGTCTGGCGCGCGCGTGGGAAGCGAAGCATTGGAAGCTGCAAATGCTGACAAGGTGGGAACCTGCGGCTGGGAAGAGGGATCTCTTGATTTCTGAGTGGGGAAATTTGCTTCAGACCCAGAGTCTCAGAGAATCATCGTATCTGGTGTGCATCCCATTTGTATAAAGCTCTCCGGAGAAGATTCTTCACTTCGGAGCCTCTCAGCCCAAATCTGGATCTTCCAACATCTTCAAGTGCTCCTTCCATCTTTCAGCAGCGCAAGTGATACACTGATACACATGCTAGCTAGGTGGAAGAAGGACTGTACTGAGCCACGTCCTTGGTCGTCTAGCCACGTCATCCCGTGCCGAGCTCAGGTCTTCGTGTCGGTGGAGGCACCGGGGGCGGACCTGCCAGGTCGGACGGACGGGTTTGGTGGCCAAAAGGAATTCAGCTTTGATCCAACATGGTTTCTACATCTCACCTTATTGAAGGTGCATTTTTGGTTTGAAGGCTTTAGGGATGTTTAGGGTCGGCCCAGTCACTGGGGCCCGGTCAGGACACGTCGTTTTACGGTCGGCTTCGGACCGTTGCAGGTGGTGAATGCGTCGGGCCTCGTGCTGCTTCGGTACGAAAGGATGGTGTACTTGGGTCGTCGGATGACAGAGAGGGGCCCGCATCATGAGGACTGTTGATGAATTTGTCGAACAGTAAAACAAAATATAGTTATCCCGGCAAGAGGCCCCAAACAGTGTGTGTGAGGTCTGGAGGTGTAGTAGCAGAAAGTCTAGAGATCTAGACGCATTGCAGTCCAGAGAGGTGATGGTGGTGATGGAGATCGTGGTGATGGTGGCGGTGGTGGTGAGTGAGTGAGTGACCTGTTTTGAGTGTGAGTGAGAGTGAGAGAGTGAGTGAGCGAGTGTGAATGCGAGTGTGGGTGAGTGTAGTGAGAGTGAGAGAGTGAGTGAGTGTGAATGTGAGCGTGGGTGAGAGTGAGAGTGAGTGCTGTAATCTGCACTTCGAGGTTCGCCAAGTTCTGTACCTGCCACGAAATCTGCACTTCGACGTTCACAAAGTGCTGCGCCTGCCACGAAATATGCACTTCGAGGCTCACCAAGTGCTGCGCCTGCCACGAAATCTGCACTTTGAAGTTCACCAAGTGCTGTGCCTGCTACGAATCTCTGCACTTCGAGGTTCACAAAGTGCTGCGCCTGCCATGAAATCTGCAAACAAGCCACATCTCCAGAAGTCACGACTCACTGCCCGCAAACGCGCGCGGCACCGCAACGAGAGTGCAGTCGCTAGAAGCACCCGCCACGCCCACGCAGATTTGGCGAGCCTGCGCAGTCGAAATGCACGTCGACGACTTCGAGAGGCATGAATACACTGTAAATAGCAGCGAGTTAGCTGCACACGCCCGCGCGGCACAGCGATCTAAGCACAGCTGCTTAACGCCTACCGTAAGAACCCCTAAGTGTGTCCACACTGTTTGGGGAGTCATATACACTATACACATATCTTTTGTGTGTGTGGGATAGGTATGTACACATTTGCATATGAATCGTCTGTATCCACGCGCACACCTAGGTTGACCATTGATATATGTTTGAACTTGGGGCCCGCAATGTTTGTCATGATGACTCAGGCAGTTCAAAGACAATTCAGCTGTTATGGCAGATCCCTAGAGGGGGGTTGCGAATCAAACTTTAACAGTTTATCGGAGATCCTGGTCCCTTGGAAGGCGGCCAAGGGAGCGCAACTCCCTTGCAACTATGTACACACTAGAGGTTCGGCTGAGTCGGTCATGTAGCTTTATGGCAAAAAACTACAAGGCTTGAGGCATTTGCACTACCAGGGCTATCGGGGGATACCTACCGATACGCACATGGTGGTTTTGTGCAACCGCCTGAAATTCACAAGCATTTTTTCCTGCCCTGTTGGTCAAGAGTTCGCTCGTGGTTCTTTGCCAATCTGTTCTGGTCGCGCGTTTGTGGTAGCAAAGGCTTCAGCGATCTCGCGTTGAGCCAGAAGCATGTGCTGAAGAGTCTCTCGCTTGCAGATCTTGCTGGATAGCCCCACTGATCGTTGATCCGGTTTTCGGGATGTTCAAGCACAGTGGCCGTTGTTGGGTGGTTTTGAGACTCCCTTGGTTCGAGAACCGGGGAGGAATTTTCAAGGGAATTCGCATGAATTCGTCACTGGCGAGCATTGGATCACAATATTCAATATTTGCTAGGAGAAAATGAGAAGAATGACAGGGGATCCCAGATTGAAGACGTCTCCGACCTAGACTTGTGGCTGTCCTTATCCTACAGTCCTGGTTCCTTAGAGTGGATGGGTGGCGGTTGCTGTGCGCGTCATCGAAATCGAAGCATTATGACGCTCAGGTTGCCTGCAACTCTGGCTTCTGAAGCGTGTCTTCAGTTCCCAATCGTCGATGAGGCCATGGGGCATGAACCACGAAACGACTGCCCGACCGGCCTTCTCGCGTGAAGCTGCGGCCAGGCCTTCATCAGCTACACCACCGCGGCCAATTGGAGAGGAATTCGGTGTCAAAAGAGCCAAATTCGTCCAATCTCCACACCTTCAAGTGACATGTGTTCAACTGTGTTCCTTGTGTGTGAAAACCCATGGGCTGTCACCATTTGAGGCAGAAAATCCTCACCATCCTTCACGGATCCTGAGCGCCTTGGCCACACAACCTCATGTGCTCCAACAAACCAACAAACCCCTTCTGTTTGGGTGGCCCCAGCATGCCAAAGTAATCTAGGATAACTATGTAAACATGTTGGGAGTTGATCTGAAGGGGCGTGCACTGGTCATTCCATCATGAAAGAATCTTGCGTCATTCTCAGAAAGTCATAGCAAGTCATAGCAACTCACCAAGTCGTTGTCCTGAGGTCTGTACGTTTCCCTGGAGACGGGCGGTTTCCGCGCCTGGCTCTTGGGCCTCCCCTGCCGTTTGACGCTGGCCGCCGCCTTCGCGCCACGGATGTCCCACCGGGACGAGCTGCGCCGCCAGGCGTGCCACGAGGGCCGCGGGACGAAGTGCGGATGGGCTGCGGATGGGCTGCGGCCGCGCAAAGCCACGGTGACCCTGGAAGCCCAGGAGACATCTTAGTTGGGTTCCTGTGCTATGTTTTAACGTTTTTGTGTGTGGGTGTTTGGGTGTTTGGGTGTGGGCGTGTGTTTCTGTGTGTTTTTTTTCGGGGTGTCGAAGAGCAGCGCGGGTAGGAATTGGTCCTTGAGCAGCGCCAGCATTTTCTGGATGCCATGGAAGCGAAGCAGAAGGAGAAGAAAGGGGACGGAAGGGATGGGGCACCAAACCCACGAGGTAAAGGAAAGAGGCCAGTCACTTAAACGATGCTTGCCGTAGGTTGCCGCCAGCTTGACCCTCAGCTTGCTGCCTGACACAGACAACAGCACGAGGGGGGGGCAAAAAAAACGGAGACAGAAACCCGGGGATCAACATTAATTGGCCATGCCACAAACACAAAAATATCGATGCCCACGCCTGATCGACAAAGATGTCACTTTACATGTGGCGTTCGTTTGGTGAGTTTGGGGTACGGGTGGCCGGCAGCAGTATGTGCCCACCTTGGCTGCCCAGTTTACAGGAGGAAGAGGATCGCAAGGAGGAAGAGGATCGCACTTCTTCCCCTTCACAGGCCTCTTGAGCTGAAAGCCAGCTAGGTTGGAAACCTTCAGAAAACCTGACATGCTGACGTTGGACCAGCCGTTGGGGCCCTGACATCCTGTGACCAACTATTGCGACTCTTGGTGTTCACCACGTGTCTCGAGAGGGAAAATTGAATATGAGCCGTCGGGCTTTTGATTTACTGTACTATCCCTGGAACAATCATGGACGTGGAATGCCTTTGTAGAGGTGCAGACCAGGGTCATCCGAAATTGGGGCCATGCCACTTAACCGACTTAACCATGGCCATCCACTTAACCATGAATGATTTCATTGAGAAACAGGTGGCCTTCCACTTCCGTGTTAGGTCCAGGGAGTGTACCCGTCTTCTACCCAAATCGGCTAACTCCCGGACCCGCAGGCGCCCGAAGCGACCCAGCAAGACTTGATTCCTGCCAGAGGTTCTGCGGCCTCCTCGAAGGCTTGCTTGGGACGGGCTTTTGGGGGCGTGCGTGTGGGGGTGACTGCATAGCTTGGCATGCTGAAGAGGCATTGGTAAGAGTGCTTCAAACTGACATGCTGAAGCACCTTCTTGGTTGAAGCAGAAGATGAGTTCCAGCAGCTTCTCACCAGCCCCTGGTGAAGAAAAGTATATTATGTTTCTTGAGACAGATGGACCCCTGGTTTGAACTCGTGCCCCCAATTCAAAGGACCGCAAGGGTGGTCCGGGCCCCTGAGCCTTGCTTGCTACCTTTCGTTTCATGTCAGTCAGCTTTAGTGCAATATGATGCAGGAAGCATCACATCCAAACAGCAAGGTGCCAGGCATTTCTTAAAATCTATTTTCCGTCCTTGGGTCCGAACCCGTCTGAACCGCTCTCCTCTCCCGTTCTGTGCCACGTCACCCAGACGCCTCCCCTTTGCGCGCGCAGGAGGAGAGCCCAAGCCCATCCCGAGCAGGGGCAGTGGCATTGGAAGCCCAGCGGCACAAGAATCTTCAGAGAGTGAGGAACCAGCCCACGGCTCCAGCTCCTCGGCAATATGATGGATGTAGACGGGGGATGACAGGGGTGTTGGTGCAGACGGGCACACATGCGGATGTGTGTGGGAGGATGTGGGAGCAGAATTCTTTCATACAGACTGGAATGTTGTGAGTTTGTGATGTTGGTTGACTAGTATGATCTACTGTAAGTTGAATTTGATGTGTGTGCGTTTGTGTCTTGGGCCTTTCTCGGAGAAAACCTTCACCCGGCCGCTCCCGGCCGTAGCGAGCTCGCTCGCCTAGCCTCGCCTCTTCGGGCGGCGACGGACCTTCCACTGAACTCAGGTCTTCCCACCTCGGAGCGTGGAGGTTCCAGAAAGCAAGGAGAGGATGTGCACAGTGTAAACCTTGGAGGCCCAAAGGTGTCTCACTGGTGTCTTTGGGCTTTGTCCTTTTGGGGGTCGGTCACCTTAATTACTTGGGGTGAATCGATTTGTTCATCGGTTCTTGAGGATTTGGGGGGAGATGAGCAGCTTAGGACTGACAGAGCTGGGTTCGGTGATGCCTTTTTGGTACCCCCTATGGAAAGTGTTCCAAACAATCATGTGGGAAATGGTCCCAAAATATCACTCAACAAAATACGATCCCAAAATATAACTTAAGAAGTTAAAGCACTGTAATTTACAGCAAAAACACACATTGGGTGGGTATTGAAGGGGGGGCACCTCAATATTAATTCTTGGGGGGGGTGTCCCATTGCCTGTAAAAATCGGTAAACAATGGTCAGTTACAGGGAATGGGATACACCCATGGCACGATGCGCCGAACCGCCAGGACACCAAGCGCACCATGCGTTCCCGCTCGGGAGCATTGGCTTTGGAGGCGCAGCGTGCCATTGAGAGGGCGAAGGTCGAAGCGGCGCGGAGGTGCGAAGAACAGGAGCGTGAAGAGCCTGCAGAGGAGCAAGATGAAAGTCAAGATCAAGCGCCCAACGAAGCTTGGCTAAAGAAAAGAATTGGTTTCTTCATGCATGTCGCATGTCACATGCAGTTTTCTGCTTGAGTCGTGTCTTTCTCCAATGTTTGGCACTGGGGGGCCGGTCAGATCTCACTCTGCAGCCTTCGTCTTTAAGTGCAGGATTCTGCCGCCCTCATTGCCATGCAGGATATTGAGTATCAGAGGACTGGGCTTGGCATGTCTTGGACTGCTCCACTCCTATCTTCTAAGGCTCGGTTTTCACTGCGGGAGTTCGGGAACGACGCGCCAGGAGTTTGCTCCATGATCAGCTTCAAGATCTGCAAAAGGCCCGGCATCCGCATAACAAAATGGGCCGAAGGGAAATTGGACCAAGATGATTAGAACTTGTTCTGCGTTGGTCAATATATTTGGATAAAATGTTGTCCATAGTTGCCCAGCGAACATTTTGACAGAGTTGGGCGATGTGAAAAGCGGCTGTGAAGTTATTCAATTGAGTTGGCTCGTTTTCAGCGGCGCCCCTCAATGTGGGATGAGTTGGCTGACCCCCTTCAACTCTGGTTGGCTAGATGTTGGGGGAGACTGGGTAAAGCCTTGAAGTGCATGCCGTTCCCACCTACTGGTAGCACACCAAACCGCAAATAGACCAAATAATGTGAGCATATCTACTATTTATGACACAAGACCCAGCTAAGCACCACAACTCCATGGGGTGTCGTACACCCGTTGCTTGCGCTCGAAACACCGTCGGAACCACCCAGATCGAGAAGTATGCGCGACGTCGCAGCCGCACGCAGAGGAGCAGGCCAGGAGCGAAGGCTCCAAGAAGCTCTTAGAAGTGGAGCTGCAGAAAGCCACCACACGGCACCACCATGCGCAATCGCGCCTTTCAAGGCGCGAGGGGTGGGTGCGGTGGGGTGTGGGTGTTGGAACAAGTGCGGAGACGTGAGGTGCATGAGCCGTTTTTTAGGGAGAAAACCCAAGCCGCAAGAGCCCATAAAGAACGCTGCTTTTTACATGTCCTGCTCGTGTTTTTCATGTTCGCCAAGTCTACGACCTGATTTCGATGGTCTTGGACGACCTGAAGACGAGATCAAACAACCTGATGACGAATAGCCAGCACAGAGTCATCCAACATTGGACAACGCATCTTTGCGAGGGAGTTTGACACTCGTGCCACGTCACATGCACTTTCAGGTATGGCCTGCAGCTCAGCCGAGACGCAAACGAAATCAGAGAGCAGCTGGAAACAACCATAGGAAGCAGGCAATCCTTGGATATGTGTGCCATCAATCTCAACAGCCTTGGTAACTGGTATCGGACTCAAATCTGACCTCAACCCAGCCCAAATCACAAGCAAAATGACAAATGAAGCGGATGTTCTCCCAAAAACCCGGCAGAGCCCGAACAACTGTCGCACTGGCGGAAGTCCTTCCGCGTCCTTCCTGCTGTCCTTCCCGCGGCGACGTCACCCAGGTGACAACCCGCGGCTCCACGCGGAGGCGCAAGAGGCGCGAGAGGCCGAAGATGTGCTGCGGGTGGAGGTGGAGGAGGTGGCGCAGCGGGTGACGGAACTTCAGGAGCCGAACTTCTTCTTCTCGGTTTCGGGTGGGTGGCAGGGCGGTTCCAGCTTTTGGGGTTCCAGGAAAACTGGGGGTTGGTATGTAGGATGGTGGAGGTATGTACGTAGGTTTTGTGTAGGTGCTTGGAATCACCATAAAGAGGGGGGTTCAAAAGTTGATGTTTCTTAATTGGTCGGCGTGAGAATGTTCAGCACTGGTCAAATGAGACATGAAACCACATGCAACGCACCGACCGTTGCTCAAACCTTTGCTGGCCACGGGGGCCCTTTGAGCTTAAGCAAAAGGCGTGTCAGGGAAGCCGACTGGAAGGTTTGCACCGCCCAGTTGTTGAAACTGGCAGCAGAGCTTTTCGAGTTCTAGTATTTTTCACGTAGCGCTGCTGCCAGACCTGGCGCCCCGTTTGCGGAGCGTTAGCGTCATGGCACTGGAGACACGGAGGTACGGTGTGCTGACCGAAAGACACTTCCAGGATTTGGTGGAGATGTTGGATCCTGACTTATCCTGACTACAAGTTCTCCATGGAAGCACTGGAGAAGAAGGAGCAGACGCTCGCGGATCCCGAGAAGAAAGAAGAAGAAGAAGAAGAAGAAGTTGGGGCTGCTTGGACTGCGCCTGGCGGATAGGCTGGCGGGACCCGCGTTGCAGGTAGCAGAACGCCTTGGTGTGGACCGCCTGGCAGAGCAAGATGGAGCCAAGACCTTGTTGAAGGAACTGGAGAGCCAACTCCTACCTCTTCGACGTCAGGCTGCAATGGAGCTGTACTAAGCGGGGGCAAAGGATGGCAGTGGCATCCTATCAACGTAGTATGGCGAACCCATGAGTTCATGACACCAAGCGAAGGAGACAAGAGGATCCGGCCTGAGGGTGAAAAGCTCAGGAGGCAAGAGTCGTCGTCGTCAAGGTACCTGGAAGCCCTTGCACGGATGTGGTTGGCCTGGGCGGGTCAGCCCCATGTACAAGTTTTCATGGGAGAGCTTGAGAAAAGAGGATGCCAGTTCAGGCTGATGGCACTTGAGGCACCACACGAATTGGAAGAACAGACACGTGGCACGATCAATGGATTCAGTCCTTCACAGTGGATGATTATCCGGGTCCCACTTCGATGTTCAATCGAAAGTGTGCGATGGGAGAAGCAGCCCAGTCGCCATGGGCCACTGAGGACAGCTAGGTACCGAAGAGTCCGAGCAGAAAGGAGGATGTGAAGAGCGCCTTTCGTGAAGGAGACAACGTGGTATCCTTCCAAGGAAGCCGAAGACAGGAGCATGGGTTTGACCGGCTACAATCCTCCCCATTGTGTGGCTTCTGCATTCTGGAATTGAATGCCAACTTCAAGTCGCGGGAGGACCTTCTGCGCAGCCGCCACCAACCGCAGACAGCCCTAGTGAAGCTGGAGTGATGAGGCCAAGAGAGATGAGGAGCGAAAGAGGCAACCATCGTCAGACAGTCAACAGCTGACGCTGGGAAAAGAGCCCTTGGATGATCCCAGAGATCGAACCCACTGCCCTATCACAGGACTTCGCGTGCTTCTTGGCCAAAGCAAGGCCCTCTGGATCGGAGCTCCCTGCAGAAATGCCGCAGTGATGTTTCCCGAGTGAAGGTCATAACCACGACAAGCGGCAAACGACATCAACGCGCACTCCTGAGGCCGTAGGGCAGTCCGTTCGGAAGTTCTCCTCCTCCAAATCCTACTCTTCCGTTTCTCGGGCACACTTGGTCCCCCAGGCAGCTTCTCTTCTGCTTTGACAGCCCCACGAGATGGAACCCCCGTGGAAGGAGAAGGGCCCCTCACTTACATGATTGCCCTCATGAATGTGTATGGCTCGACTCATTCATCAAGGACTCACAGAGGTCGAACCTGCGGTCTACGCATCCACGTCGACCACCTGATCTGCAGGGCTGGAGATCATCGGATGGACGATCTGATGCGAGTGCAAGAACGATTTACGTTCGGATCCACTAATGTGAACAACTTTCGGTTCTGTGGTCGAAAGATCGCGAGTGGAGAAGATTGGACCATGATAGCGTTCAAAAGGTGAAGCCAATCTACTGTACATTGAAGTTGGACGTCAACGACGGCCTCCAGAAGGCGCAAGCAGCCAGTAGGAGCGGCTATGTGTAGGCTTGAACTCTGTTATCAATGCTTTGCCCTCCAAGGACGCAAGAGCAGACCGAGGGTCGAAAGTTTGAAGAACACCAACGCACGAAGGAGAATGGCGCCAGATTCGCGAAGGGCAAGTTCACCTTTGAGGGCGCGGTGCTCTTGTCGGTGAGTGACGCGTCCCAAGAGGCAAGGCCATAGGTCACAAGGAGGGAGGTTCCTCCTCTCGGCACAATGAGGCATGGTGCCATGCGCTGGCGACACTGAAGAGGGTGTGTCGATCGACCTTACAGGCCAAAGTGCTATCGTCGAATCGTCAATGTATGGATCTGAGGAAGCCCATTCAACGAGTCTGAGCTTAAGCTGTACGCCCTGAAGTACCCGATGGTGCCAGAGCGACGCTAAGATTGGAAGATATCGGAAGATCATTGCAGCAGACTCCAAGACCATTTACGGGTTGACGGACTGCAGGTCATACACGGACTACATGGGATCCTTGACACCTGGAACAGTGTCGGATAAGCGTTTGGCCATCGACGTGACATACGACAAGAACTATGGAGAGGACAAGGGCAAGAGATTGGATGTCAGCGCCACACCGGGAATGCCACAACCTGCTGGTGATCAACTATGGGGGCTCCCAGCACATGGTGGCAGATGCTATGGCCAAGGCTATGAAACGGAACCCGGTGCTGAAATTGATGCAGGACAGCTGGCTGAAGCTGACAGTAAAATAACCGACCAGAGCCGGCACCAGTTGTGGTTTCAGTCCTCTAAAGGTTCATGGGTGTGAGAATGTTCAGCACTGGTCAAATGAGACATGAAACCACATGCAACGCACCGACCGTTGCTCAAACCTTTACTGCCCAAAAGGCGGTTTGCACCTCCCAGTTGTAAAAAGTCGGCTTCTTGGAGTGGAGTGGAGTGGAGTGGAGCTCACGGGTGGATAGTGTGTGCGGTGTGTGGAGAGTGTGCTTGACTCGCGGGGTTTTGTTGCCTTCCTCCGGTCATGGAACTGGGGGCGCATATGGGATCAGGGCAGGATACACCCCCTGGAATCATCATGGAAGTGGAGTGAGAACCACTTGTTTGTAGAGGAAAGTCGTGTGCTGTTAGCTGTTCCTGACCGGAAAGACGTGCCCATCCCGTGTTACAATATGTCCTCGTCCATGAGTCTCTTGCCTTGGGGCCTTGGTTGTAATTGCAATGGGGGTATCTCCCAATATCCGGTCGTCCCTAATCACACTCAGACACGGGGTTTGCATCGAAGAATCAGTCGTAACCACCCACATTGTTTCAACCATGCCGTATCACGATCTTCCATCGCTTGATTGACTTTCCATCGTTTTTTGGGGACGGGACTCTCCTCAAAGGAGGTACATCCAAAATAAAGTTTGTAAAATGCAACACCAAGGGTCACGGTCCACGCACAATTCATCATCGTTTTTGGCGGGGGGATGGAAAACGCCACCCCACCCGTCTATTATTCATGGGTGGGAATTTGGAGGAGCTGGTGTCAGAGAAAGAAGAGCTGCTTTGCATGGCCTCCTTAGCTGATGAGGATTGCTGAATCCCAGTCTTTTCCACCAGGGCCAGTCCTGGGAGTCCAAGCCACTCAATGTTGGCTCTTGCGTGGCCCACTGCACAGAAGGCCAAAAGGGGCCGGCTTAGCTGAAGCCAAAAAGATTGAGAGCGGTCAGATGTTGTTCTGTGGGTTTTTCAGTTCCTTTGGCCTGTTCGGTTCCTTTGGGCTAAACATCCAAAACCGTGCACAGTCCACATCTATGGAGTCCTAAAATCCAGAGACATCAAGCTGCCCTGTGACTTTTTGTGGATCTCTCAGCTGCAGGGTTATAGAAATATCATATAGTCATTGGTTCTTGATTTGATGATTCATGGTTTCGTGCTTCCTGAGCTGCTTCCATAGTTTTGCTCCGAAGCTTTCAAGCAGTCAGAAACAGCCACCTACGGCTGGCCGAAGACTTGGATCCATGGCAGGGCTGCTCAATTCAGCATCGCTGATCGCTGGTGAATCGCCAGCAGCTAATCGTCCTCACGACCACCTGAGGACAAAGACACAAAAGGTTGGTGATTTCAACCCGCCTAGAGCAATTCAAAGAACGTTTTCTTTAGTCAGGTGATTTATGGATTTAAATTTAGTCAGGTGTAAACATGAGCTGCTGCTTGAAAGCTGCTTGAAACCCAAAAACCAACAAAGATCAGGTCGCCACCACTCAAAGCCAGTTCCACGAGCGGCTTTTGCATGCAGCAGTGGCATCCGCATGGCTGGGGAGCTTTGATGAAAGGGGAGGGGCGGCTTATCGTGCAGTCGAGATGATCCGGTAGAAAGACCATGACAAGAAGAACAGCCTGGGGAATTGGGCAGGTGAGCCTATGCGGTAGTTGGGTTATGATGGTTGTTGGGTTCTATGAATGCTTCCTACAACATCTTGAGGTGGAGCACTTCCTACAATTCAACCTGAAAGTGTCCGCCCAAACGCCAGGAAGGTTGGTGAATGTATTGTGGTGGTTCGGTGGTAGCTTCATTGGTCTGGAGAATTTTGCATAATGTTTAAACTTTTGCATGCTTCCATTCTGCTAAACTTGTGGCCTCGCATTTAATCATCCTTTGCTGTGTGAGGGCAGGGTTCAAGGAGCATGTTTTGCTCGACTCTTTTCCGCTGTCCTTTCCATACAGCGTGTGATTTCGCTTCTGTTTGCCACCACTGGTTTCACCCAAAGACTGCCGGCGTTCGTCCCACCAGTCGTTGCCCCAGACCGCAGCTTGGCCACAGCGTCCGGTCTGGAGAGCTTGCACTTGGGAATTCTGGGGTCTCGGCGGGTAGATCTTACCTCTTATCTCACGGTTGCAGTGGCCTTCTGCATAAGAGGTACCATCAGAAGGGGTCTCGGGTGACGGGTGGCGGGTGCCGCCTCTTGGGTTGTCCAATGGGCCGAGGTCCATCGCCGCAGAGGAGGATCCGCCATTGCCTGGATCGCCTGAATACGTCGGAAGCGACGTGGCCAGGCTCGCTGCCAGGCGCGAACAGCCTGGCCGCAAGAGTGGGTCCATACTGAACAGCAGACCGCAATCAGAGAAGGGACAACCAGGTGGTGTAAGCAGTTTGAAGATGCGCAGGGTTCAGTCTCAGATTCGTTTTGTAGCCTGCAGCCCTGCTGCTCCCGCTTTTTGCAGGCCTTTCAGCCACAGCTTTCTGGCGCCAAGCCAGGCTGGTTTGTTCGGCTGACCTCTACAAATCCTTGACATCCCTCCGGACCTCCAAAAGAGGGTTCTCCACGTTCGCCACGTTCCATTTCCAGCCCAACACGACCTCATCCCCGGTCGGGTGTACTCGCCAGGCAAGCTCAGTGCCCACAGGGCGTACTGCATCTGCACAGTGCCATGGTTGGATGGTCATGGCCAGGATCATAATGGGATCAGTTAGTGACAGTTAGTGGATCATATGCCCTAGCAATCCAGTCGTGCCTGGTACGACTGGACCCTCCCGGCACCTACAGAACATTGTCTACAATCACCATACCTGGGAAGGTACTTGGATCCCTATAGGGATGGGTGACAAGTGGTGGAAAGTTTGACCCCGTTGTTCTCGCCCGTGAGAGTTGGGCCACCCCATCCAATTCATTCAAGAGCCCTTTTGCAATGAATTAAGGGTGCTTTTTTTTGTCGCCATCAAGGAAAATCTCATGTGTGTTTTTGTTGTTTCCTTCATGATTCATGCAGTTCGAATCATTTCATTGAGCTCTCAAGACCTTCCATCTTACCACCGTGACGCGTGTCGTGTCGCGTGTGGAGCCTGAGGCGCTGTCACTTGCATCAGCGGGCACATCCTGGGTGCCAACGATGCGCGGAATGGAAGCGCCATGGAAGTGCTGAGACGGAGAGTTTTCGTCACGCCAAGCAGAGACCACACCAGGCCCGTCTCAACACGATTTCCACACATTGATATGTCAATATATACAGTATATATATATGTGTGTGTGTCAACATAATTTGTATATGTCAAATATACATACATAATATATATATATATATATTTCAACTTATTGTTTTTTGGGGGTGCAGCAGGTTGTTTGAGTCAAAAAGGCCAGTGTACAAGTGATGCTTTTGTGCACACTACGTATCTCGCTGACTCGAATGTCATCAAGTTATCGGCCCTTCACTCAAGTTTGGGGGAACACACTTCAACTAGAATAAAACAAAGAAAAAAACAGTTTGAAACCGTTGTACAACAACTATGTGTCATTGTTTATTTCTTTTGGTTCGACGTGGATTTGGGACCTTGTTGAGACTGCCAGGAGGAGAACCCTGAACGGGAGCCTATGAGAGGACCCCAGCCGAATGGCTGTAGCCAAATGAGCCTAGCTGCTCTACCAAGAGCGAGTTGCCTCTCATGTGGCTGTGGGGCACCACCTCGAAACGATTCCGAACCCCGGAAGGTTGACCTTCCAGTTACATAGTCGATTCTAATGTTCAGGCGTCCAAGGTGGCCCAGTTTGGACGGGACCAGAACGACGTGTGCAAGAACGAGTACTTGGTCCGGTCCGGTTCCTCAAGGGACTGTTAGTTTTTGGGGAGGCCTGGTAGGGCAAGTCAGGACGTCCAATCCAACCGGTGTGACGATGTGAGGATCCCTTTGTCACATATACGCGAACCTGTTTGGTTCGCGTGGAGAACAGCTTTGCAAGGGGTTCTGAGACCCATGTGACTGAAGAGAGTCGCTGCTTTGGGGCATATCGATCACCTCAAAAGGGTGAAAAGAACACTCAAAGAACCAACAAATGGTGAGAAGTTGTGTATGGCACCTACAGGATGAACACTGACCCCTTTACGGGAGCCATTGACACTCCTTGAAATCGGCTTCGGGCCTCTTCGCAGAATGAAAACCACCTGTTTGGTCTTCGTCTTCAGCTCATGACCGTCATGAGGTCGTTTGTTTCGGAGGCCGCGGGTTCTGCAGGAGACGAGGACTGGGAGCAGCAGTTGGGCTTCAACACGCGGCTGCAGAGCCAAATCTTTCAGCTGCCTGGACTGCCCCGATGTGGGAGAGAGGTCCTGAGGAGATGAAGGAGATGAAGATGATATGAAGGAGGAACTGAGGTCCTGAACAGCCAAAGAAGACCTGTTTCGGGGAATGTTTGGCATGTGTTAATTGATGTTTGTCGTGGAAATCGCATCGATTTTCCAGTTCAACTGTTCCAGGAAGGTGAGTTGATTCATGTGTTGGACGGTGGTCCTTGGCCGCTTTATGCCGTTTTGGGGTTGCTTGGACGGGCCCGCTATGAGTTGCATGATGTATATAACTGGGGTGTGTCCTGTAACAGTTAGTAAACAGTTATCACTATTTGTGCACAAGGCCTTTACTACAGTAAGCATCATCATCCACTGTTACAGGTAATAGGATAGACCCAATATATAACTTGTTGACTAGAGCTGAGATGTTGAAGGCTTGAAGATGTGTGTTCTCAGTTCTCAGGTGCTGTGTCGCTCAAAAAGCGCGCCGAGGTCGGACTATTTCAGAAGCATGCAGCACCACGTCACCAACGCTTGACACTCGGGACGACCCACTTCACATTGCGCGCGCAGCCCTTCCTGGCCGCAGTTCCCCCATGGATTTTCCGCAATGTTCTCACAACCCTGAAAAGTCATTGAAAGTCCACGATGCCTCATTTTTCAGACCATCGACCTTTGTGGGAATTTCACGGGCCACTCCCCGGTCAGCAACGCGTCCGCATGGATTCCCACGCAGAAATGCGTTCGCATCGTTCCTCCCTCGTCGAAACAAACACCAGGGCCTCCCACCGAGCCCGCTGGGGCCGGCAACCGCTCAGAGGTCGAATCCCTGGTGGAGGAGATTCTGACTCATGCAGATCATGTTGGCCTCTTGGGACGTTCGGTGCTGGTTGTTCTGTGTCTTTTTTCCTTCAAGCACGACTCACCCAGGGCATCAAGAAGACGGGACATGTGTCGTCGCTGCAGGCGGAGTCCTACACACCGAATTCGAACAACACCATGCCTTCCACACTCCTTTGCGCTTCCGCCACAATTGGTCTTTGATTGGGGTTCACCCCTCCTAGCAGCCAAAGAGATCAGCAGCATCTGTTGCAGGGAGGCCTGTTGTAACCTCCACTACGTGTATCCACCCGAATTGCGTGGGGGGTGGGGGGAACCCAATTTCCACCGCTTGCTGCTCGCCGTTGTGCAGTCATGCAGTCGCAATAAATTGTGGCAATTTGGTTTGCCATGGTTCGAAATTCGTGGCAGGTTGCGTATGCCGCCTGGCCCAGTTGCAGCAAGTGGCCCCAGTTTTTGGGATGCATGCCCTGGAAAAGCATGATGGATCATGAATCATGAAGGGAGATCATTCAGCTCTTCAACCTGCATGTGCTTTTGTGATTCAGTATGCCCCTCCCTTGTGTTTTCCGGATGTTTCAGGATGTGTACGACCGGTTTGTCTAAGAGGGGTTGTCCAAGAGGCCCGTCCATTCAGAAATTCTCGCAGCCCCCCCCTCTCCCTGAAGAGGGGAGGCACAGGTGCCGCGGAAGTGGTCGCCCCGGCAATCCTGGACATATCACGAAAGGTAGCCCTTTAGGGGATACCTTGAGTTTGTCTTGCGAAGCAAGTGTTGGGACGTCCGGGTCTAATAATTGATCGCTCAATTCAGACCCCCCCCCCCCCCCCCCTCAAATTATTTTTTTCATAACAACCCCCCCCCCCTCCCCCCCTCTAAAATCAATTCTCTCCTGGAGATCGTCTTCGTGAGCCTCTCATGATTTCAGGATAGTTGAAACCCTCTTGAACATTCAGAAAGAGTGAATATGAAATTCTAATCACGAAAGGTGTTCTGTGAAGCGCGTCAATTCTCTCCTGGGGAGCGTCTTCGTGAGCCTCTTATGGTTTCAGGATAGTTCAAATCCTATGATGTTCCGATTCAATGCTCACCGATGATCTGAGCCATGGGGCAAGTTTGTTTTCCTAAGAATCTTTTTGAACATTTCGAGAGCACATGTTTGAACATTTAAAGTGTATATGAACATATATGTACGAAAGGTCGCCTCCGAGGGGATAAATCACCATGTCGAACATTGCATTTTTGTTCCTGCCTCTCGTGTTCTCTTCTCTTCCCGCTGTCCTACCTTTCGTGTCTCCCTCCTCTCAAGTCTGGAGATAGAACATGTCACTGAGAAGACCAGTTTGCAAACGTGTTGGACATATGTGCACATTGGACATATGTGAACATTGAAGCCCCGTTTGCAGCAATTTGGGATTCATGCCATTCCTTAAGCTAGTGAGACAGCATGAAGGAGGCTGCTCCGGGCTCACCACCTGCTCCTGTGAAAAGACTAGCTCTTCACCCCGTGGCATATCTCAAGCATCCTGAAGCTTGGGCAGAAAGCAAAAGACAGGATGCAGCGGTCACGGTCATTCGAGCATGGCCTTGGTCCTACTCAAAGAATCTAATTAAAATTAAGAGATATCAATTCTGACATGAGTGCGGGCTGCTACTTGTAGGGCCGACTGCAGAACTGGAAGATCCAAGGACACACATATAATATATTCACACTTGCAGGGAGCTTGCGGATGCAAGTTTTATGTTCACTGAAGTTCACAAAATGTCCCACCGGGACATTTTGGCTCAAGTTGGTAGCAATCGCACGCAGGATTGCACCTGAAGGTTGGGAAGAAAAACTTCCTTGGACACTCCCTAGTACATTGGTGATTTTTGACGACGCAATGGCGCACCCAATGGAACCGGAGTATGTCATGATCGAGTCCGTGCGAGATGCCCAACCGGACGTCGAGGATGGCACCACAATCAGCAGCCCAGGCATGGAGAGCCTGGACGCCGCTGCAGACGCAGCATCCACAGCCCTCCGTCACGCGGAGGCGGAAGGTGCAAGAGGCTTAGCCGTGTTTGGCCAGCCTGTCTTAGTTTCTGAGCTGGATGCTCAGGAGAAGATTCGTGAACTTGAGCGCCACTTGGAGGCCCTCAAACTCCAGATTGCCGAGCGCGAAGACGCAGACATGGGTGTGGACCTCCTGGGCCTGGAGAGCCCGGCGGATGACGGCGCTTGCCAACCCCCTTCTGCTCCTGGTGCCCCTGGCCCAGCGGCGGAGGGGGTGGCTCCTGCTGCTGTGCTGGCCCCGTCGACGAGCCCTACTACACGATCAGCGGCAGCGGCCCAGCCTTCTATGCTGACGGCCATGGCGGAACCCCCTCTGGCTTGGCCTGTTGCGGCGGAGCCACGCCCTGCGGCACCGGACAACCAGATGGAGGAGGCCACCACTGAGCGCCCGGGCTTAGGTTTCACGCCCCCTGCACCTGCAGGGTATGTTAGTGACCCGGTAGATGCCATGGCGGCGGATGCTTTGCCGTTGACGCCCCCGGCGAGGGCACAGGCACCAGAACCTCCGAGACCTACCAAGAGGCCGGCTCCGGAACCTATGGAGGAGCCTACATCCAAGACACCTACCCTGCCGGGTTTTACCAGGGCCTCTTCAGCCACACTGGGCGCGATCCCCATGCCAATCAGGTTCCTCCCGGTGACGGAACCGGAGAACCATGTCCGGTTCGCAATGCTACCGGACTCCTTCCCGCCCATTCCGGGCCACTTGGCGGGGCTTCTCACCTCTTGCTCCGAGAAGGAGATCGTCCAGCTCTTCGACCAGTTCACCGGCTACCCTTTGTCAACACCGGTGGTCACCCGCATCATTGAGCAATACCTCCCCTTGCGGGCGATGGCCATGCAGGAAAAGATCTGGACCCAGCGGTACCAGAAGGCCACCGACAAGTCCGGCCTGACCGACCAGAAGGGCCTCCACTTGCCTGGAGGGGACATGCCCTTCCACCCCATGTGCGGCAAATGCATGACGCCTTGGCCGGACAACGCCACCCGCTCCTGGACCTGCAAGCATGACCAAGCTATCGAGTACCAGCGGCCTACATCCATCATGGAGGTGGGGAATGAGACCTGGACTCTGCTCTACGAGGCCGGGAGCCAGTCTGGCGACGATCTGCTCCGGTCCAGTCTATGTCAGGTGCCCCTGGCCCTGAGGCGACTGGCATGGACCCTGACGCGGAGAGGAACTTCAAGCTGTCACACTCCATCGATGGGAGCCAGTTTGCCCAGGCCCCGGCGGCCACGTGCACTGAGGAAGAGCGGACCTTTGCGGATGAGGTCCCTTCAGTCTGCCAGGTCGCCATCACCCCCACGGAGATCTCGGCCTGGCCGGAGGACCTCAAACACAAGCTGGAGCGGGGCCTCTTCTGTCCGACTGTCTCCCTGGACTGGCACCAGGTCCCGGACCCCACGGACATGCTCCAGCACTACCTCCCGGCGATGAGGGCACTGCAGAACGGCCATCTGCAAACCCCAAGCTACTGGAGGAGATGCCCGACCTCAAGCACACACTACCACTGCGGCATCTGGGGAGGCCGGTGCCGATGGCCCAGCGGTGACCGGCCCTGGCATGGCAATGCTCAACGAGATGGACGAGGAGGCCAAGAAGCTGGCCATGCTGCTTTGGGCTTTGAAGGTGCACCGTGGCGAGCTCAGAATGTTTGGTGGGGTATGGCGCAGGGTCCCTGAGTTCAGTCCGCCCCTCCCGGACTGGGCCCAGCCAAAGCCAGGGGCACTCACGCCCAAGGAGGTCGACCGCTACAGAGCCCTGGAGCGCAGGACACGGCAGCGGCCTGAGCGGCCATTCAGTGAGCGAGGGTGCCGCGGGTGAGTGGGCCTAGACCGTTTTGTCTCACCCCATTTTGCATCCATTTTGAGCTCTCTGCCCATCCGTGCTTGGACGCCGTAAGTGTCCTCCCTTAGGTCCAGGTGCCCATTGGCCCTGAACCGGGGGGGAACACCCGGTGGGGGCTATGGTGGGGCGCCTAGACGACCGTTTTCTTGCGCAAAGAGGTGCGTCGTGGGAAACGTTGAAATTGCTTGCCTTTTGACCGGTTGTGTGAGACAGCTTCCGTGTCTAGCAGCTGCGGTGAATGGGAGCGAAACTGACCACCCCTCTCCTTGTTTCCCTTGTTGACTGAGCCTTTTTGCCCCCTACTCTGATGGTTTAGGCTTCGTAGGGGAAGCCGGTTTGTTTCTGGCGATCTCTGGCGCCATGAATTTTACTAGTGAGGCCTTCCTGAATCGCACACCTTATTGCCGTGCCTGGGACTCGCTGCCCCGCCATATTTTTGACACCCTGGTGGACGAGGGATTTTCCCCCCGCCAAACTGATGGAGAGCTACTGGTGGTGGCATGCTTGCGGGTCGGCACCCGGACGAGTCCCTGGAGCTGGGGGGCCAACCTGCAACGGTCTTTAGGCCTTTGGTGTGGGGCTATGACCCTGATGATCCGGACATTCACATGGTCCCGGAGGATTACCTGATGGCGCTGGTGACAGCGGCCGCAGCGCGCCTCCCTCAACCAGTGGACCAGGACGACTTGGAAATGATCAGATCCACCTTGTGGGATCTGCTGATTAAGGTCACTCAGGGACCCATGACCACTACATATGGCCCTCTCCAGTACGCCTACGACCGACGAGACATGCAGACATGGCACAACCGCAAGAGCCCCCCTCCATTGCTCCAGCCGGAGCTCCTCAAGTGGCGGCACTGGCGCCCCGGGCAAGTGGCTACTCTGGAACCCACTACCCAGCGGGCTCTGGAACTCCATCTCCGGAGCAGATGGGCTGAACGCCTCACTGCTCACTTCGCACCTTATGCAGAACACCTTCCAAACCTGGAGGCGGTCATGCGGGATTCTGACTTCCGCATGGAGCTGAAGCACCTCCTGGGCGATGCTAGGTTCCGCTCGATCCGGCAACATTGCCTGGTCTATGAGAACCTCCGCAGGCGAGGATTTGTGGCGATTCCATGGAGGGAGTCGGACGTCCGAGCTCTGCTGAACAAGTTGCAGATGGACGAGATCTCGCCCTACAAACTCCAACAGATTTGGCAGACCCTGAACTGGTTGTCCAAGATCTTTGGCCTCCTCAAGGTGGACGAACACCAGCGCTTGGTCACCAAGAAAAAGGCCCTGGAAGAGGAGCTTGCCCCCACGGTGGTTCGCCCCCAGAAGAAACTCACGGGAAGTGATATGGGCGCTGGAGGAAGGCGCGGCGCTTGGGGGACCCCCTGGTGCCCCTGGCCCACCGGCCCCAGCGCAGGCAGCCTTCATTCTGGGCTTTGCCCGCTTCCAGGTGGGCTGCAGTGCCCGCTTCGATGACCTACAACATGTCCGCCCGGAGGAACTCCGGACCACCTCCAATACCATTGAACTCCAGGCCTG